ATACATTACATTTATTATGTAAAATTAAGTATTCATTTAAAGCAGTATTTCTGTAATGAGCCTAATCATAAAATATTAAGGACATTGCTTAAATGCAGATTCCCTAGCCCTGTCCTGGAGAATCTAATTCAACACCTCTAGGATGGGGTTACATGACTGCAGTTTGTTAATTGCCTTAGGTGATATTTTTAGAATCAGAAGTTTGGGAAGCCATGATTTAAAGGATTTCTACTGGAATTCCTATTATTCAGCACACATGCAATTACCCTCGATTTTTTTTTTTTTTATCAGCCTAGGTTTTCATGTTGTTGTCTAGCACTTTCTTATTTTTCAGGTAGGTTTACTTTTTCTATATATCACTTATATTCATTTTAAGTCATGAAGCTAAGAAACTAACCATAGCATACTCTTTGCAGTGTATTCTCTTCTGGACACTTTTAGCAAGTCTGTTTTCTGGTGAATGCAGTTTGTGGAAATTGAACAAGAACAAGAGAAAAGCAAGAAAGGCAAGCTTTATTTTGCACAAGGCTAATGTTAGAATCTGAGATAATTGCTGAAAGTTGGTAAGTACAATTAGGGGTTTTACAGAAGTGAGAGAATTAGAACAAACACCATCTATACTTTGTCCCTCTTCTTCAGTTCTAACTTTCAGTGTGTATGCATTTATTCATCTCTCAAATAAGGGAGTACATATGAATTAATACATTGTAGGGAACAGAACACTGGGCCCTAAGCATTAAACTGATGATTCCTGGGGAAGGAGGCAGGACTGATGGTATTAATTGGCTCTTTATTTGTTCCCTTTGAGTATTACTAATTCTTAACTACCAAATCATTTGCAAGCATAATTTTATCTGTTTTTGAGTATGCAAATGTATGCATTAATAAGTAGATAACTGATTATGTTCAATTATTTGATGGTACCATTTCAATTACTTGATGGTACCTTTATCTCTTCAATTCTGATTCTCCCACATTGGAGTCCATTCTGGTTCTAGAACATGCTAAGCATGTTCACCTCAGGACCTTTGCACTTGAAATACCATCTGCCTATACCACTCAAATCTGATCTTTAGGGCTCCATCTCTCACTTCCTACAGGTCCCTATTCACAGGTCATCTCATCATAGACCCAGGACACTGTCTATGAACTAGCTCCTCATTACTCTTAATTCCTTCCGCCTGCTTCAATTTCCTGCATAGTACCTACCATCATCTAATTTATTATATATGTACTTCTTGATTGATTTACTGCCCATTCCCTCATATACTCTAGAATATAAGTACCCTGAAGGCCAGGACTACATTCTATTCACCAGCAAATCTCGTTGCTGGCATCAATGTCCAGTAAGATATATATTGGATATTTGTATTGGTTTGAGGAAGATATGAAAAATTACTGACATCTGTAATCTCAGATATTTTATATAGCCAAATGGAAAAGAACATATACATTTATAAAACTAAATAGTAGAAAGTTTAATTAAATGTACAAAGGCATCCAACTACCTAAAAACATGTCCACATGAGATCTTGAGCATTTTCTGTATAATAGCAAAACTCCTTCAGCAAAAACACAAAAAAATTGCTAAAAATAATTAACTTAGACCAAAAAAAAATGGGGTGCATAGGGAGAAGTAGGTATTTGTCATGACTTGTGTTGTATATTTTTAAAACTCTTTTGTAACTATTATATTGTTTTTATAGCTTTTATGCACTTACCAGGTATTGTCATAATGAAAATCAGGCCTATTTATGTTTCACTTTTTTCTAAAGTGTAAGCTCTTAAAGATGTGGTGCACCTTTTACATTTTTATTTTCTCCTACAATGTCCATCTGAATAAGTTGCAAATACCAGGGTAATGGGGGGGGGGGCTGAGGTGGTGGCTCAGTGGTAGAGTGCTTGCCTAACACATGTGAGGCACTAGCATCAATCCTCAGTACCACATAAAAATAAACAAATAAAATAAAGGCATTGTGTCCATCTACAACTCAAAAAAAATTTTTTTTAAAAAGGTGATCAAAATATGTTTAACTGAGGGGGCTGGGGTTGTAGCTTAGTGGTAGAGTGCTCACCTAGCATGTGTGAGGTGCCAGGTTCCATCCTCAGCACCACATAAAAATAAATAAAAGCATTGTGTCCAACTACAACTTAAAATTTAAAAAAATGTTTAATTGATTAAAAAATGCCTCTATCAAACCAAATAGTGTGTGTGAGTGTGTTTGTGTGTGTGTGTGTGTGTGTGTGTGTCTTCTACATATAGTTTATAAATTTTGGCAGTAACATAGTTTCTTAACTATCAGTGTCTTGCTTATACACATGCTTGTGAACAAAGATCATAAATCTTCACAAAATTCAAAATGGGGGAGCAGACCATGTTTAAATATGTATAAAGACAAAATGTCCTCAAAACTTTGTTTTAATGAGCGATAGCATCAGCCCTGGAGAACACAAAAAGCAGAACGTTTCAATCTGAAAAGTCCACACTGTAAAAAATGTGATGCTCCTCCAGTCCAATCTTGGCAACAGGAAATATCTTCATATGCTATCTAAAAAGATCACCTATGTTTTACTGAGATTATGAAAAAATATCCAAGGTGTACTTTTCTAGATTATTTCCACAAAATACAGGCAGGCCATAGGGTCGATCCACCAGGAAGCTGACAATGTTCAGACTTCGGGCCCCTCACTTGCTCAGGTGAGGAAGACTAAGCACTATGCCCAGGTGCTTTTGCTCTTAACAGTCCCCACCCCCATCTAATGCACACAATTGCTTAAGCTTCAGGCCCATAAAACCTGGACCCATCCCTGCCAAGTCTCCATTAGATTATTAACATGAAGACAACCAGGCTAGAATTTGCAAAAATGATCCAAAATTCGTGTATTATTTCAAACATTTCTCAACAAGACCAAGCAGAGAAAGCCAAAAGAGGTACACTGTGGATCTCTGCAGTATGGTTAGTATTACTTTGCCCAGGACACAAAAGAAGTTTTGGAAACCATGACTAGATCAAAACGACTTTTGTTAAATGTTAAGTACAGGAAATCCTAGATAGTTATTACCCATAAAAATTAGGTAATGCATCTCAGTAAAAACAGTACTCGTTACTATTATTTTTAATAGTAATGCCATGTATCCCAAAACTAAGCAAACTATATGTCAACTGTGTGATTAATTAGACTAAATTTTGCAACCACTTTTGATACAAACATCAAAACAAACCAAACAAAGAAAAAAATCTGCTATCAACTTGGCTTTGGGCTTTTAAATTTTCAAACTCAGAAAGGCTCCTTAGACTGTTGAGAGTTTTTCGGTGAGTGGGGGTCTTCTCTTAGCATACACTCCCATCTCAACTCCTACCTTTAACCCCTTACAGTTCTTCCCATCCTGCATGGAATACGCAGTTAATTCTCCTTTGGAGGCCACAATGATACCTACAGATGGTAGTTTTTAAAAGTATGACAGCATGTGATAAGATTCCCCAATCCTACCAGCGCTTTACTGTGAAGATGGTCCTTCCCCTCCACCCCTCATCCTTCCTCCCTTGTGGTCTCTCAGTTTGGGATGGTCCCTAGTCACTTCTTCTGACGCCCGGCCTCTGCCCAGGCGGAGACACCCTCAGGAAGGTCTCCTTGGGATGGTCATAACACCAGGGTAAAGTTACCAGGGAAAGCAAAAAGGCGGCCTCCACTCTCTTGCCAAAGGACGCAACCAGTTCCCAGACCCGGACGCGCCCAAGAAGGGGGCAGGGAGTGTAGCCACCGAATCCCAAGAAGGGCAGCGAGACCCACCTCCGGCTCCCTCCCGCTCCCGCCCTTGGCCCCACCTCCGCCGACTAGCACAAAGCCGTCCCAAAGGCGGGGGCCGGGACCTCTGGAAGGCCGCCTAGACGCGACGAACCAGGCCCCGGCGACCTGCGGCTCAGGCCGCGCAGGCCGCTGCTCCAGGCCGAGTCTAGAATTCCCGTCCCGGAAGGGAAGGACGCGAATCTAGAGTTTCCACCGCCCCCGGTCCCTAGCCTTTCTAGGCAGAGTCCCCGAGAAGGTTTTGCGCGACCCCTGCAGTCCCTCCCGCCACGCCCGAGTTGGAGGCCTCCCGCTTGCTGCGCCTGGGCTGGCCCGGCCGCCGAGAGCTGCGGGCTCCCAGGGCGTGAGATGACATCGGGGTCCGGGCGATTGCTCATTTACAGACGCCCCTTTGAGCCCCGCCGACGCGCTTACTCGGGGCCTCAAATCAGTTCCTCACGTTTCCACCAGGCCCTGTGCCCCAGCACCTGCGTAAGGTGGCCAAATGACGCGGGCGCAGACAGGGGAAGCGGGGACGGGAGCAGGGAGGATGGGGGCGGGGTGTGGGGAGACACTGCCCCAGGTCCCCGCGACCCCGGCCTGCCCTGCGCCTCGCCTGGCCTGGCTCCGGGGCGCACACGCGGGCGCACACACGCACACCCTTCTGCCCCAGTGCGGGAAGATGGCCGTTTCTGCTTGGATATAAAAGCTCTTTGTTGCACTCACACAAAAGCGTCCAAGACCCGCTTTTCCAGCAGGCCCTTTGGACAAATCGAAGGAAGTCAACGGAACTTCCAAAGGGGTCCCCAGAAGTCTGAGGCAACAGGAGGACCTCCAGGAGAGGGGGAACAACAGGCCTCCCGCCCCCAGCTACCAAAATCTGTCACTCTTCAAGTGTTCGTCCTGGGAGCGGGCGCTGAGATCATTCGTAAGGGAGGAAGGAAACTACTTTACTCTCAAGGCCCAAATGGGGCATTAAACATCCACGTTCTTGTAGGGTTTCTCCCCCTTAAACAGGGTAGAAACATAATCCGGGAAAGTCTGCATCCACAAAAAAAAAAAAAAAAAAAAAAAAAAAAAAAAAAAAAAAAAAAAAAAAAAAAAAAAAAAAAATAGCAACAAAAGCAACTTAAAAAAAAAAAAAAAACATAACAAACCAGTTGCCATCAGCCCAAAGTGGTAGCAGCAGCAGCCGGCGCGTGTGATCCACTTACTTGTCCGACTCTTGTGACATGTTTGATCCAATGAACTCGCTCCCCTTTTCCTGGAGCCTCAGCCTCTGGTGAAACTGGACTTTCAAGTCTGTGCAGGTGAAGGTGTGTGAGAGCGCCCGAGATGGCAGAACAAGAGCTACAGGTAATTCTGCTTTTCCGTCCCCCCTCACCACTCTCGCTCGCTCGCCCGCTCGCGCCCTCACCTAGCCGGAAAGGTGGGATAAGGGGGGGGCCCCTCACATGGGGCCCGAGCTCGGAGGCGGCCGGGCGGCGCGGAGTCCTCCTGGATCGTGGCAATGGGCAGACACAGAGCAGAAAGTGGCGGACTTGGGCGGCCACAGGTAACTTTCTCGCAAGGAGCTGAATTCTTTCACTAAAGGGTACAAGCCCGAGGGACGAGCTGCGCGGTGATTGGCTGCGGAGCTCCCTCAGGTGAGCTGCCATTGGCAGAGGCGCGCTCAGGTAAGGCCCTTCTCCAAGTGCAGGTAACTCACTCCAAAGTTGACCTGAGTGGAGCGGTGGCACGCTTGCAGCTCAGCGGCAGCCTGCGGGAGCTGAGGGTCAGCGCTTGGAACAGACTTCCAGCTACGTTGTACACCTTCCCCGAGGCCGGTTGGGGAGGTCGGGGGACTGGTGGGAGAGAAGGAACCGGGGGGGGGGGGCGGGAGAAAGCAGCACCTGCAAGCACTAGGGATTGTGGGTCAAACGGAAGGACGATGGAAAACCGAACTCAGAAATCCCATGCAAACCGGAATCAAATGGGCAACACACCACAAGGCATTCAGTACCCCACTGTAAAAGAAGGGTTTGCGGCAGAACAGTAAGGGACTAAAGTTACTTTTTTGTCAAGGCGGGAAAGAAACACAAAGTTTGTGGGGTCTGTTGCGTAATTGCATTTTTAACATTCTTATCTACGGCAAACACTTTTCGTATCCAGGTAGTTTACAGCTTTTCAAATAGGTGGACATCCTTTCATGAGCTGAGCTGATGAGGAGTGGCGAGCTTTTTTTGATAGAAAACGGAGATTTGGTTGAATAGACACTTAACCTGGCCCAGGAGCCCTTCTTTGATCTCAACTCTGCAGCCTGGGATTCCAGAGCTGCCAACAACCGCTGAATCTGTTCTATAACCCTGTTGTCATTTGACGTTTCCAGGCAGGCATCAACATTTACATTGTAATTCAATAGAAGCAGCTACTACAAAGGTTCTTTATCTTTGCCGTTTAATATGGTTGCTAGGGGGAACAATGCAGGATGAAACTGGCTTTCTTGTGGTTCGGTTCCTCCTGGTTGGAACAACGCGAATTAGCAAAGGTGTAATTTATAACCGCTGCTACCGGAGTGAAGTATTTGTGGAAGTTCTGACGAGGATCTAGCCCATACACGTGGATTGTGGAAATAACGGAGAAAGTGGAAAGCTTACCATATTTTACTACAAGTTAATGCAAATGCTACCAGACTTGATACGACTTCTATTTTAATTTTTTATGGATCACAAATTCCTGAAAAATACATAATAAAACAAGGTTTGGTTGTTGCACGTTTTCATTCTCAGCAAATGAATTTCACAATTTTATATATATATATATATATATATATATATATATCTCCACACATATACCTTTTAAACATAATATATTTTAACACAAAACAACTCTACCTTCTTTATCTCCCTTTCAGAGGATTCTGCTTTTCAGCTTTCTCTATTGTCATTTTCCTCCCTGTTTTGAAATAATTTATGCTGCTATCTCTTGACTTATTAATATAGAAGTTGTGCTTTGACCACCTGTTGCCTTAGGTAAGGATTTAGCCCTTTCACTCTACCCAGTTTCCCCTTCTAGCCATTTTCATAGTTTAGGGACTAAATAGTGCAAACATCAGGGACAGCACAGCCAACTAGTGTACTATGCTTGTTTTCTTTCTTATAAAATCTTTTGTCTCTTTTATCATATGCCTATCCTTGTATTTTTCTACAACTTATCTATCAAATGACCACCCAGTTTATTTTTTCAAGTGATCAAACAAGCAATTCTATCTTTCCTCAATCCTCCAGGACTGCGCTGTTGTGTTACAATGGAGATGAGTATCTCTGTGGACCCCTGCTCCATTGTCATTCAGGGATGCTCCTTAATTTGTTAGGCGAGAATTCCCTTTCTCCTTCTGGTGCCTTTTTGGTTTGTGCCTCATTTTCTATGGCACATGGTCCAATAATGGTCCAAGAAGGGTACAGAAGGTAAAATGTTAAATTCTTACATACTCAAAATGCCTTCAACTTTTACTTTTTGATGGAGAGTTTGACCAAGTGTAGAATACTAAATTGAACTTTTTCGTTGATAATCCCATAAAAATTACTTTAAAAAAAATCTTCAAGCTTTCAGTATTACTGCTGAGAATTCCATTGTCATCCTGATTCCCATTCCTTTTGGGATTTTTTTTTTCTGGAAACTTGCAGAATGATCTTTTTATGTCTAGTATTCTGAAATGTCATAATTATACGCCTTAATCCAGATGTTCTTTTGTTCATCCTGCTGGCCACTCAATTGGACACTTTCAGTGTGGGTGCTTATGTGTAGTTCAGGAAATTATTTTTAAATATTTCTTCAATAATTTCCTCTCAGGGGCTGGGGGTGTAGCTCAGTGGTAGAGCACTTGTCTAGTACATGTGAGGCACTGGGTTCTATCCTCAGCACCACATTAAAAAAATAAAGTATTGTGTCCAACTACAACTAAAAACATTTTAATAATAATAATAATAATAATTTTCTCTCAGGTCATCCTAGTAGTGTAATTAAACGCATGAAGGCTCAGATTGCCTGAGTTCAAATCCTAGCTGTACCATATGACCTTGGGCAAGTCACTTGGTTTTGCTGTACTTCAGTTTCCTCATCTATAAAATGAGGATCATAATAGTAATTACCTTGACAATACATCTGAGTCTCTTCAAACAGTGTCAGACACATAGAAAGCTTTTAATGCTTGACTACACTTGTTATTTCTTTTCAAAACTCTTCTTAGTTGAATATTGGGTCTTCTGGGTTATCTTTTCTTCTTTTTAAGTACTGGAGAACTGAATCCAGGGTACTCTACCACTAAGCTACATTTCCAACAATTTTTATTTCTCTTTATTTTGAAACAATCTCACTAAGTTGCTCAGGCTGGCCTCGAACTTGGGATCCTCCTGCCAACAGGTGTGTGCTACTATGCTAGACTCCAATTACTCTTAGAATCCTCCTCCTCCTCCTCCTCCTCCTCCTCCTCCTCCTCCTCCTCCTCCTCCTCCTCTTGGTCATTTCTTTGTCTTTTGTTATATTTTGAAGGATATCTCCTTCCTTTACTTGCTATTGAAATTATCAGGTATTTTAAGCTTTCATTTTGTGTTTTCTGTTATCCTTTCAATATGATTCTGTGATTATGTCATGGATGCAATAATTCTGTCTTTAGTTATTATAGTTTTTATTCTGTTTCTTGCCTTGTGTTGGCTTCTTTCTTTCCCCCATGCATTTGTTTTGGTGACACCATATTAGAGGTTCTCATCGGCTGTCTGCAAACTGCTGTCTATTCATAGTTAAGAACGAAGGTTATAAGACCCTCTCCACATAACTCTGTGGGCATGGAGGAGTGTGCCTGCTCACTGGTGGGCTTGCATGTGCTGATCAAGCCTGCTTTTTCACAGGAAGATATCTCAAATATCAGAGACTAGATGTCTTTTCTATTGGGCTCTTCAGTTTCTCGAGAGAAATCTCCTGCAGTCTCTTGCCCGAGGGGGTGTTCACCTGGCTGCCAACAATCTGGAAGCCTTTCAGGGGAAGGGGCCCCGGTGAGCCACTGCTTACTGTACAGCTTTTCATGCTTCTTCCCCTCCTACAGGGCTTTACTCCTGCCTTTCTTTGTGCCTGGTGTAAGCACCTCTCTCCTGTTTCTCCAGCTGGCTGCAAGAAACCAGGCAAGAAGGTCTGAGGGCATTTTTTTCATAAGTGGCTGAAGAGCCCAAAAGAAAAGACTTTCGGTCTCTGATATTCAAGATCTATTTGCAGGAAGAGACAGGCTTTCACCTGATCATCACATAGCAGGTCCCCCAGAGAGCAAGCACACTCCCCTCCCCCACAGGGCTTCTGATGAGATTCTTTTGACCACATTCTTACTTGTGAATGGAGAGTAAAATTTTCTGATTGCCAACTGCTGATGACTGGTGAAAGCTCTGATGGCAGAGGGCTCAGTGACTCAATTGCCAGTATTTACCCAGACCCCTGACTTTTGCTCTTCACGGCTCTCTTATCCTTCCGCTATCCTGAGGTCTCTCATCAGCACCTCTCTATGATGATCTCTGGCATCTCCAAGCCCTAGATCACAGGGGTTTTGTAGGGCAACCGGGCTTTTTCTGTACTGACCTCTATGACCACTTTAGAGTATCACTTCTACTATAATTTTAAACCAGTTTCCACCCCATCTTTGAGAATTGAGTTTAAGTACATCTCTTGCTGATGACTCTTTTTTATTCTCTTTGTCCCTTTGGACATGTCCTTTTATGTTCCTTTACTATCCTTTTAAGAGGGAAATGAAGATAAACAAGTACAGGTCAATCTGTCTTTATCATTCAGACTTCTATTTCCAATCTTATAAAAAAGCTTTTACCAAACTGTCCCAAAATCATTTGTGCAAAAAACACACATTGTTTATGGCTTAACTATTTCTTTCATTGGTTTATAGTGGTAAAGATTCCTTTCTTCTTCTCTACCATCTAATAACTCAACTTTGATTATGTGGCTTGATAGTCCCTTAATTGGCTAATTCCTGGTATATTGATTGATTAGACTCATGGATAAGGTTCCAGTGGATGATTTCGTATTTTCAGTTATGAAATTACCTCTGTTACTCAATTGTTTTGATTCCTTTGGCAGAGGAATTGTAAATAAATATGCAAGTTTCTGTCACATAGATCATGAGACTATGCTGTTCTCTCTCCAATCATTTACATCCATAAATATTGAAGTTCAACAGTGGTTCCCAAAATGTGGTCCCTGGATGGACGGTCAGCAGATCACCTGGGAGCTTGTTAAGAATGCAAATTCACTAACTTGACCCAAGACCCACTGAATCAGAAACTCAAGGAAGTGAGCAGCAGCATGTGTTTCTCAAAAAAAAA